AAATTAACTACCACCCTTTGCTTTTAAAGAAGACCCTAATGTAATTTAAAGAACACTTATGAATTTGCTATGCATTTCACTGCTCATTGCAAGTTACTACCTAACACAAATAACAATGCTTTTCTCTTTTTTTTTTTCAAAAAATTTTTTTAATATTTATTTTTTAGTTATCGGCGGACACAACATCTTTGTTTTGTATATGGTGCTGAGGATCGAACCCGGGGCCACATGCATGCCAGGTGAGTGCGCTACCGCTTGAGCCACATCCCCAGCCCTTCAATGCTTTTCTCTACAGGTGGTTTATATTTTATCAGGCACCTGGTAAAACCACAGAGATGAACTTGTAAACTGAGATTGTTTTAGTCACTTTTTCACAGCTGTGGCTGAAAGACCTGACAAGAACGATTTGGAGGAGGAAAAGTTTATTTGGGGGCTCAAGGTTTCCGAGGTCTCAGTCCATAGACAGCAGGCTCTATTCCTCAGGGCTTGAGGTGAGGCAGAACATCACAGGGGAAGAGTGTGGTGGTAGGGAGAAACAGCTCACATGATGATCAGGAAGGAGAGAGAGAGAGAGAGAGAGAGAGAGAGAGAGAGAGAGAGAGAGACTCCACTTGCCAGACACAAAATGTGTACCCCAAAGGCATGCCCTCAATCACCAACCTCCTCCAGCCCACACCCTACCCACCTTCAGTTACCACTCATTTAATTCCCATCAGTGAATTAATTCACTGCTTAGGTGAGGGATCTCATAACCCAATCATTTCTCCTCCAAACCTTCTTGCATTGTCTCACACACAAGCTTTTGGGGAACACCTCACATCCAAACCATAATATTCTGCCCCTTGCACCCAAAAGTTCATGACTATCTCACAATGCAAAATACATTTAGCCCATTAACAAAAGTCCCAAATATAAGGTCCTTGCTTAGCATCTGGATGGCCATCTTTAGTGATAGCCGCCATTTTAAGGAAAAAGTTTCACTTTCCCACCCTTGGGAGTTTCTGAGAAAGAAACTCCTCATACCAACCAACCCCTGACTGCCCACATTAGGACCTGTTTCAGCTCTGATTTCTGAGCCTCCCCCATAAAAGTCCCAAACCTCAAGCCTGTTTTGCCTCTCTATCCTATAGAGAAATAGCCTTTATTTGTTAGCTCTGACAAATAAACTCTTGTTTGTAACTCTGCCTTGTCTCTGTCTTTCATTTCTGCTTACCCATCTCTTGTTCCTCACTTTCCCTTCACCCAATGTCTCAACAGTTCCAGAACTGCCCAAAAGTTCAAGTCCAAAGTCTCTGGGATTCAAGGCAAACTTGCATCATGAGCTCCTGAAGAAATAAAAAATGATTTACAAATATGCAATATGTAAAGGTATAGAGTAAATATTTTCATTAAGAAAAATATGGGGGGCTGGGGATGTGGCTCAAGTGGTAGCACACTCGCCTAGCATGCGTGAGGCACTGGGTTCCATTCTCAGCAACACATAAATGTAAAATAAAGATATTGTGTCCACCTAAAAAAACTAAAAAAATAAATATTAAAAAAAGAAAGAAAAATATGGGTAGAGAATGAAGGGATAGGACCAAGGCATTACTGGCGAACAAGTCCTATAGCTCCATGTCTGGCATCTGGGGCACATGACACGGTGATATTATGTCCAAAGGACTTGTGTAGCTCTGCCTCATGGCCTTGTTGGTTGCAGCCCAAGTGTCCTTTCTGTTGGCTTGTCTCTGTTTAATTCCTGTAGCTTTCCTAGGATGAAGTCCCATGTTACTGGCATTTCTTAATCTCAGGGGTCTCTGGGACAGCTTTGGCTTCCTCCTCACATCTCCACACTTTGTCCTCTCAGAGGGTGTCCATGGGGACTCCAACCCTGTTGCACTGTGCCTGGCCTCCCAGACCTTCCTTTGGAATCTTGGAAGCCCCCATGATTCCCTAACTCCAGCATCCTGCATTCCTGCAGAACCATCACCACATGGTTGCCACCAAGATTGCCACCATCTGGAGCAGTGGTAAAACTTCCAGGGACCCTGACTGCAGCAGCCTCTGAGTGTCTGGGTGGCTGAGCATGTTGAAAAAACTTCCTAGGCCTCCTAGTGCAAGGATGCCCCTTTGATCTCTTTTTTACTTTTACTCCCTGAGCCTGAGATGGGTGTGGTCTTACCAGCTCCTGAGACACCCTCAAGCCATCTGTTTTATTATTTGGGGGCAAAGTCTTTAGCATTCCTTAGTGGCTGTAATGTCTTTATCATTTGCAACTTCCTTAGCCCCAGTTTTACTCCTGCCTTCGAAGTCCAAGTTTTTCAAATCTTTCTTTTCTGCCTTCTCCTGAATATCAAAATAAACTTTGGCTAAAAGCCTCCAGCACTATCCATGCCACTGCCTGAATGCTATGCTTCTTAGAAATTTCTTCCACCAGATTAAGAAGTCCATTGCTTTTAAAATCAACTTCACAGAAAGTCTCAGGACATGGACCAAATGTAGACAACTTCTCAGCCAGAACATAACGTGAATGGCCTCTACTTCAAATTTTAATAGAGTCCTCCTTCTCTGAACCCTCTTGAGTGCTGTCTTTACTGTCTGCAGTCCTATTGACATTCTAGTTGTGGTTTGGATGTTAGGTGTCCCCCAAAAGTTTGTGTGTGAGACAATGCAAGGGGATTTGGAGGAGAAACAATTGGGTTATGAGATCCCTCACCTAAGCAGTAAGTTAATTCACTGATGGGAATTAAATGAGTGGTAACTGAAGGTGGGTAGGGTATGGCTGGAGGAGGTGGGTGATTGGGGGCATGCCTTTGGGGTACACATTTTGTGTCTGGCAAGTGGAGCCCCTCTCTCTTTCTTTCTCTTTCTCTCTCTCCTTCCTGATCATCATGTGAGCTGCTTCCTCCCACCACCACACTCTTCCCCTGTGAAACCCTGAGGAATAGAGCCTGCTGTCTATGGACTGAGACCTCTGAAACCTTGAGCCTCCAAATAAATTTTCCTCCTCCAAAATGTTTGTCAGATCTTTTAGTCACAATGCAAAAAAGCTGACTAAAACAAAGATCATGACTTAAGATTTTTTTAAAAAAGGAGAGAACTCTCACCAGACACATATCTTGCACTTCCCAAGTATCAAAACTGTGAAAAATAAAATACCTGTTGTTGAAGCCAAAAAAACAAAGGAAAGTTGATTCCAGCCTGCAAATATCTCTAAAGCTGTTTCACTTCTTATTCATCCTTATTCTAAGGATATAAATTTTTGTGGTCCAGTTTTTAGAAGGACCTCCTCCTATTTCTCTCCCCATTTTGTTGTGTTTAAGTTTTTTTCTTTGAAGTGCAAAAGGAAGGTTATAATTTTCCAGCTGACAGGGCCAAACAGCTTCTGCCTTTCTTTACCTTCCCGGATGCTAGCTTTCCAGGTTTGGTCTGGTAATTCCCTACTGCCTTGCCATCTCTTAGATGCCTTGTTATGGCTCTATTTTATTCTCCCCTGCCAAATCTATATGTTGAAACCCTAATCCCCATTACCTCATAATCCATCTGTATTCAGAGACTTGGCTTTTAAAGAGGTAATTAAGTTAAAATTTAGCACTTGCATGTGCTCTAATCCAATCTGAATGGTGACCTTATAAGTAGAGGAAATTTAGATACTATCACATCTATGGCCCAGTTTTGCCAGAGCAGTGAGATAGGTTGCCAAGAGCCAAGGCATAAGACTTTATTGAGAAATGTTTACAGGAAAGTTCCAGTAGCCATTGGCTGAACAGATAGCACTCCAACCCCCACTGTACTTCTGCCAAACAGTGCCACCTCTTCCTCATGGTGTTTTGTCTGGTCGTGGCCAGCTGCATGAGTGACAGGTGTCCATCCCCACAGTGCCCTCAGTTCTTTCCCAGTTACCACTGAAAGAGGGATTTTACATGTTAAGCTGCAGAAGCTGTGACATTATCAGCATTATCTTGCTTAGTTTGCTTGTATGGCCAGCTCCCAAGGAGCAACTGTCATGATGTACATGCAAGAAAAGAAGCTCTTACAGTTAACATTAACTTGCCCTAGTTCCTGGTGTGCATAAGTCAATGTCCTTCAATGTAATATGTATCTGGACATTCAATTGGCCCAGGCTTGCTCTCATTGTTCCCTAACGTGGCTAGATTTTGGGGAATATGAAGACAGCACTCAGGAACATAATGTTTTAATGTTCCTCTTTTCTTTAAGGATAATATGAATACACAGACACACCAAGGGCACAGGGACGTGCACATAGTACACAGTACACATACACACATGTATGCACATGCTACACACACACACACACACACACACAAACCTTGTGAGGACACAGAAAGAAAGCAGCCATCTGCAACCCAAGGGAGATAGGCCGCAGGAGAAATCAAACTAACTCCCAGAAGTTTGAGAAAATATATTTCTGTGGGTTAAGCCACCTGATGTGTGGTGTGTGTATATATATATATATATATATATATATATATATATATATATATTTAATGGCAGCCTTAGCAAACTAATACATATCTCTTTAAACTTAAAACATGTATTCCAGAAAATAATGTAATTGTTTTCTGAGGCTCCTGCTATCACCTGAGGGCATCATTGATTTATTTTCCTACTTATTACTAATTTCACCAGAATGAAGTCTCAAAAGAGCAGGAAAGCGTGCATTCTGTGCTGCGTCCTAAGATCTTGTAAGGACGCGTGGCGGGTCACAAGCACCAGGACGAGAGCTGCTGGGCCAGTGAATGAACGCAGGACGCCAGGATTCCCCATCAACCTGCCGGCTTTGGGGGCCCAGCGGCCGGGCCGGGGCAACAAGGGGGTGGCCTCGTAGGTCGCCGCCCCCAGGGTCTGGGTGGCCGCGGACGCGAGCCCAGGCGCTCGGCGGCTTCCGGCTTCCGGGTGCTCGGGCGCGCGCTGGCTCCGGAGAGGGCGGGCAGTGGGTTGCGGAGCCGGGGCGAGACGCGCGGGCGTAGGTCCTGGACTGAGCGGATCCCGTTGGGTGGGCGGGCCGGCTGGGGCAGGGCAGCAGGCTGCGGGCATCGCTGGCCACCTGGAGGGCGCGTCCCGGGGCGCCCGCGCTGCAAGACGGGGCGCTCGGCCTCAGAGGCCGGGTGCACTTGGCTGTGGCCGCTGTCTCGGGCACTAAAGCCACAGTCGGCGCCGGTTCAGGGCGCCCTCCCATTCCAGCCCCAAAGCCGCCAGGGGTGCGGCTGGCAAAGCCACCCATCCTAGAGGGCCCTGGATGGAAATTTGGAAGAAAGCCTGGTCCAGTCCGGAGGCCGAGGGCCCTCCGGGCTTCGGAAGGACGTCTAGGCGAACGCTGGACGTTGTGGACGGTCCGTAAAAGGGTGGGAAAGAACAGAATCTATTACCACCCAGTCCTTCTCTAGAGACCTCTGCAGCAGAAAGGCTCTGGAGTGAGCGTCCCCACGTCCCAACCCTGGCCCTCCCGGCGTCCAAGGCCCACCTGGTGAGTACTCCTCTGCTGGTCTACCTCTCTTTTCCTGGCTGGCCTATATGGGAGACCTGTGAGGGTGCGCGTCATTAACCGCTTCTTAGGGACGAGTCCAAAGTTTCTGTACTTCCATAAGGAGTCCTTTTTTTTTTAATTTTTATTTTTTAGTTTTAGGTGGACACAATATCTTTATTTTTATATGGTGCTAAGGATCGAACCCAGCGCCCTGCGCATGCCAGGCGATTGCTTTACTGCTTGAGCCACATCCCCAGCCCATAGAGGTCCTTTTTTAATATTCAGGGGTAGGATATTTCCTATAATCTCCAGTCTCTAAGGACGCACGTAGTTAATAAGTCTCTTCTCCACCAACTTCAGAAAGTCGGGCCACCCGCCCCCGCCTTTTTAAAATATTTTAGTTGTAGATGGACACAGTATCTTTATTTATATATTATTATTTAAAAAATATTTTTTAGTTGTTGATAGACCTTTATTTTATTTATTTTTATGTAGGGCTGAGGATCGAACCCAGTGCCTCACACATGCAAGGCCAAGTGCGCTACCGCTGAGCCCCAACCCGGGCCCTCTTTATTTTTATGTGAGGCTGAGGATCAACCCAGTGCCTCACACATGCAAGGCAAGCGCTCTACCATTGAGCTACAACCCTAGCCTGGGCCACCCCCTTTTCCACCCAGCTGTTTTGAGGACTCCAGATACACTGGACCTGGTCATGGTGGAGGTACCTGCCTAGATGCCAGTGGTTGGATGAGTTGATTTGGGTTGTTTTCAAATCTGCTTGCTACCAATAATTCTGCAGGAGCCCTCGTTAAACTTAAAGTACTATATTTCTTCCATTTAAGTATTAACCCCTCTCCCAATTTAACATTTCTGAACCCAGGATGCATTTTATCAGTTGTTAGGCTTCATGGGTGATGATGTGTCTGTCACTGTTTGCCTCGGCTAAAACAGCTATGTGATTATTCCATCAGTTGAGATACTAAAAATGAACTTTACATGCATATTTCAAATTGTTTTTTAAAAATAACTTTAAAAATAATGGTATGACACAGCATAAAATAAAAGGTTTATAAGGGCTTGCTACAAAATGCAATTACTATTCCTATTTTATAGGTGAGCAAACTGAAGCACCTCAGTTTTCACTTCACAGAATTGAAGTGCCTCAGAGCTTTTGTTGGCTAGTGTCTGGGTTCTAGCCAGGCTGTCTGGTTTCAAAGCCTGTGTTGACTCCCAAATCTGGATCCAAGCAGAATATGCATGTAGCTTACAAGGTGGGAAATCAAGGCAGATGTTTGTGCATCTTTGGGTGTTTGCCTGTCTTTGTGTTTTTGTGGAATCGGGAGGTGGAAGCTACATTCAAGAAATCTGATTATACTTACTCTTGCATTGATGCCGCACCATTGTATTAGATCTTTTGCATTTTAAAATATATTTCTGCAGGTTCTGGAGTTCTGTCCATATGAAAGTGTTTCTGGATTTCTTTTTTCTTGTCTTTTGTTCCTCTAGAATGATTACAAAGCCATGTACTCAAACCAACTCACCTGACTGCCTCCCAAAAAATGGTGTCCAGTTTTCAGAGTTGTTAAAGTCACTCCAACCTCTAGGGTCCTCCAGGTCCTAGTCCTGCAGGGACATGCCAAAGCCCCGAGGGCAGAAGATTGCAGTCTGAGAAAGACCACGCAATTGCCAAGCCTCTCATTGGAGATTCTGGCAATTTCCTCACCAGAAGTGGACAACGCCAGTTGGTCGTGCATCATCATGCCTCAGCAGCTCCTGATCACCCTGCCCAAGGCCAGTACCTGGGTGAAGTTACACCATCCAAGGAAGGCCAAGGGGGAGGCGCCCTCATGGGAGGATGTGACTAAAATGTTTGAAGAAGAAGGTGAGAATAGACTGAAGGAGGGGGAAGAAGGAGGTCTCATTTATGTGAACAGATGTACTTCGTTGAGGTTGTTTCTTGGGGAGAAAATTGGAGGAAGGAAGGTCTTTCAGGGGGTTCACTCGTGCTGAGCTCGTGGCTTTTGGGAGTAGTCTAGCTGGGAGAGAAAATATTGGGCTCCCATCTCAGGCTCTTTTTCAATATGTGCTCCATGCTGCTCCCATCTCCTGGCATCAGATAAAATACATGAGGGGAAGCTAGAATAGAGTTGTTCCCCACCTCTGGCTCTTAAGTGTGGGAATGTGATTCACATGTAGAGGGATCAAAGGGTTCTGACTCTTAAGTCCTCCGAAGGGTTTTCCAGCTCAAGTTCTAGTCATTTTAGCCACTTATTGGTTAAAAATATTTAACCAATATTTTTGACAAGCATCAGATTTCCACCCCTCCCCCTCCGAGAGGCAGGAATAACATGCCTGATTCCTCTCATATTACCTTGAACTATGTGAATTAGGCAGGAAACATGTCTAAGACATACCCACCTTATTTAGTGGTCTGGTCAGGAGAAGATATATGGAGAGAGGAATTCATGTGTCTCATGTGATGTCCTCATACCTCTAATACTTCATATCCAGCCAGTATTTTTATTGTATTCCATCTATGTCAGACAGGGACTTTGGCTAAGCATCTTGAGAGATTGGGGGGCAGGGAGAAGAAGAAGAAGAATTATCTCTAAAGCTGATTATTAGTTGAAAGAGTAGATAGATATACGACCAGATCAAAATAATAGAAGATAGGCTAAGAAAAGCTCTTTTAGAATCCTGAGGAAATATAAATCAGATAGCATTGAGTTGAGTCTGGAAAAATATCTGAAGCTTTTTATAGAAGATTTGGAGGAAGTATAGAAAAGTGGGTACTTTGAAGAGAGGTTTAGAGAATGGGGACTATTTAGTCTAAATGAGGGTTAAGAATGTGAAGTGGGTGGTGTCCCAGGTATAAAGGTTGGTAGTTTGGAGGTAACCACTGCTGAGAAAATAAGCTTTGGGCAGATCATAGACTGCCTTGAAGTCCATGGTGAAATGTTTGAATTTTTTCTTTCTTATCTGTGGGAGACCCTTTGAGGATTTTAGAACAAAGAAGTGGCCTGAAAGATTTGTGCTTTTGACCATTGGGAAGTATCAATACCCAAAGCAACACACTGCAGGTCCTCCTCACTAAAGAGTTTTGGGCTCCTTTGAGTCATTCTAGATGTCCCCCCACCTTTTTTTTTTATTTTTTAGTTTTAGATGGACACAACACAATCTTCATTTTATTTTTATGTGGTGCTGAGGATTGAACCCAGTGCCTCAAGCATGCTAGGTGTGCACTCTACCACTGAGCCACAATCCTAGCCCTAGATGTCCCCTTTTGTGAATATTTTTTTGGGAAGAGTCAGTGGGTCTACAGAGCGTTCTTGCATTTGAGAGATTTGAGTAGATGCAAAATTCATAGTTCTTTTTGTTCCCTAGCTCTGCTGTCTCAGGATGCTGCTGAGACCCAGGAAGAAAGTTTAGAGGATGAATTGACCCCTGACCTCCTGACAGCAGAACCCCAGGTGGGTTGGAGCTTCCTCATTTTCTTAATAATGCTTCTTGTTTTTTAACCTGTCTGTTTTGGGAGAAGTGAGTGGGTTGAGACAAACAAGTTCAACTATGCAAATTGCTCTCATTCAGAAACTGAGCTTCTGTGGTGACAGTATCTCTGCTCATAGGGGCCTTCCTGCAACTCTTGTTTCTCACCAGCATCTTGATCTGATATTGTGCTATTTTTTGTAGAGAAAGCATAATGAGTGATATTTCCAGCTCCTAGAAACCAATGGATGTTACTTGGGATCTAAGATAAATGTCAATATAATATTCAAAATCCATAAGTGAGATGAAATTCTGACATTCTTAGTGATATATCCACATCACTGTGAACTCTGTAAGAGATGACCCTTGGCATAGTGAGAAGAAATGGCCACATCTTTGAAGTGGGGCAAAGCGCAGGAGCAGCTTTAAGAGCAGTTAGGATAGCATGTCAGAAATGGGGTCTTCACCATCTGGTGGAAACATGGGTAAAACAGAAGGAAATTAAAAGACTTTTACAGAGGTATTATTGGAGACAGAAGAGTTTTTTTTTTTTTAACATGTATTTTTTAGTTTTAGGTGGACACAATATCTTTATTTTACATCCAACCCAGTGCCTCATGCATGCTAGGCAAGCACTCTACCACTGAGCCACAACTCCAGCCCAACAGAAGAGTTTTAAGTAAAAAGAACTTTAAATCTGAATTTAGATGATATTGGATTTGATTTTATCTGATATTAGATGGTGCACAGTTTGATTTTCTCTCATCTTCCTTGCTTGGTGTCTAGGGCAATTTTTTTTCTTTTGGCTCTTTACAATCCATTTCCTTAGCTAAGAAATTTAGATGCTAATGTCTGCCTTCTAGGGTTAAAATTCATTCCAGTTATTTATGGTAATATGGAAGAAATCATAGTTAGTTAAATAATAGATTAATTATTTAAAGAATCATCTTTTCTCTACATTCCACATATCTGGAATCCCTCACTTCCTATATTTATCAAAAAGTAGATTCCTTAGCGATGGGAAAGGATTAAATTTTTTTTAAACTGAAGTATAAATGACATACAGGAAAATACATTTAGGAAATATATTCTATTTTGACATGTGCATGTACCCATGTAATCAAATTAATAAAGAGAACATTGCCTCCATCTCAGAAAATTCCTTCTTGTGCTTTCCAATTAGTACTCTGCTCCAGCCCTCATAAGGAATACATGAAATTTGTATTACTTATTATAACTGCATATAAATCCACAAATGTCTTTTTTAAAAAATATTTTTTAGTTGACACAATACCTTTATTTTTATGTGGTGCTGAGGATCGAACCAAATGCCTCACATGTGCTAGGTGAGCACTCTGCCACTGAGCCACAACCCCAGTCCCACAAATGTCTTAAAAGAGTTTAATTTAAAAAAAGAATATAGGGGCTGGGGTTGTGGCTTAGTGGTAGAGTGCAAGACCCTGGGTTCGATCCTCAGCACCACATAAAAATAAATAAGTGAAATAAAGGTATTGTTAAAAAAAAAGAATATATATTCTGTAATTGTTTATGGTATTCGATAAATATCAGTTAACTATTTGATGGTAATGTTCAAATCTTCTATATCCTTGATGAATTTTTGTCAGTTTTTATCAATTACTGAGAGGATATTAAAATCTATAATCATGAGGCTGGGGTTGTGGCTTAGTGGTAGAGCACTTGCCTTGCATGTGTGAGGCACTGGATTCGATTCTCAATGCTGCATGTAAATAAATGAATAAAATAAAGGTCCGTTAACAACTAAATAATTTTTTTAAAAAAATCTGTAATCATGATTTATCTGTATCTCTTTAGTTCTATCAACTTTTATTTATTTGAAGTCTGTCATCAGATGCATAAACACGATTGTTGTCTTCTTGTATTGATGCACTTATTATTATGAAATATCCCTCTGATTTATGGCCATACCATCCTGAATGCACCTGATCTTGTTTAAAATGTCCTCCTTTTTAAAAATTTTAAATTATAAATACATAACTTTTAAAAAATATCTTTATTTTTATTTGGTTTATTTTTATATGGTGCTGAGGATCAAACCCAGGGCCTCACGCATGCAAGGCAAGCACTCTACCTCTAAGCTGCAACCGCAGCCTTAAAATGTCCTCCTTTTTAAAACTATTGGTGTCTTTATAGTTAAAGTGTGACCTTCTTAAATGTGGGTGGGTCTTGCTAGTTTAGTCTATTTATAGTTAAAGTAATCATTATTATGGATGGGTCTAAGTGTAGGTTGTTCTTTGCTATTGTCCTTTCTGTTCTTTTTTTCGTTGTTCCTTCTCTCCTGCCTTCTTTTGGATTAAATTATTTCTGAGTATCCCATTTTATGTCCTCCAGTGACTTTTTTTTTTTTTTTGTATTAGGGATTGAACCCAGGTGTGCCTAACCACTGAACCACATCCCCTGCCCTTTTTATTTTATGTTTTTATTTTGAGACAGGGTCTTGCTAAGTTGCTTAGGGCCTCACTAAATTGCTGAGGCTGGCTTTGAACTTGTGATCCTCCTTGCCTCAGCCTCTCAAGCCACTGGGATTCAGGCATTTACCACCACACTTGGCCACTCCAGTGACTTTTAAGCTACATTTTTTTTTGTTTTTGTTTTAATGGTCATTCTATCATGGTATGCATTTTTAAATTTATTTCAGTTGCGTTGAATTAACATACGGCATCACGTGTTACTATGAAAACATATTTCCATTTACTGCTTCCTATTCTTTGTTCTGTCATCATCACGTATTCTACCTTATGTGTTACAAACCCCACAATACATTGTTTGCATTTTTGCAAAAGCAAAAAGATGGTAAATTGTCTTATTTAAAAATTAAGAAACCAGGTATGGTGGCACACACCTGTAATCCCATGAACTCAGGAGGCTGAGGCAGGAGGATCACAAGTTCTAGGCCAGCTTCAGCAATTTAGAAAGTCTCAAAATAAAAAATAAAAAGAAGAGCTGGGGGCTAGGCACAGTGACACATGCCTGTAATCCCAGTAATCCCAGTGACTCCAGAGGCTCAGGCAGGAGGAGGATCATAAATTCAAGGCCAGCCTCAGCAATTTAGCAAGACCTTATCTCAAAATAAAAAATAGAAAGGACTGGAGATGTAGTTAAGTGGTAGAGCACTCCTAGGTTCAATTCTTAGTTGAAAACCACAAAAGCAAAAAAATAACCTGAGTCTTTTGTATTTGCCTACTTACTAATTCAGGTACTCTTCATTTTTTAAACCTTTTGTTCCAAATTTCTGGAGTTTATTTCCCTTCAATCTGAAAAACGTTATCATGTCTTGTAGTGTAAGTGTTCTGGTGACCAATTTGTACAGTTTTTGTTAATCTAAACAGGCCTTAATATTTTCTCTTATTTGAGAATCCTCTATTGGATTTAGAATTCTAGGTTATTTTTTCTTTAAGTATTTTAAAAAGGTTCCATTATTTTTTAGCTTGTATTGTTTCTGATGAGGAGTTTCCTGTTATTCTTATCATTGTGTGATGTGTCTTTGTTTCATACCAATTTTTTTTATTGCTTTTTTTTGTTTCCCTTTTCTTACCATCTTTTCTCCTGATAGGCATTCATCTTGGACTAAACTCCACTTGGGTTCCAGATCTTTCGCCTGCTTTTACAATCTTCACCTTTATTTTGGTTATTCAGCAGTTTTGCTGTGATATACATAGGTGTGGGGTTTTTTTGGGGGGTGGGTAGGTGTTTATTTATCCCTTTCGGGGTTTGCTAAGCTTCTTGAATTTGTAAGTACCATCAGTTTAGAAGTTTTTCAGCTACTTTTTCTTTAAATATTTTGCTTTCTTCTTCTGAGGTTTCAATTATATCATTTGATATTAACCCACAATTTTTTTTTTCTCTTACTGCTCTAGTTTGACAATATCTATTGACTCATTTTTAAGTTTCACTGAGCTTGTCTTCATTTACCTTGTCTACTTTAAGGCCATTAAATGAATTTTTCATACATTGTATTTTTCATTTGTAGAATTTTTATTTCTTTTCTAGCATTTCCGTATCGCTCTAAAGTTATTTCCATCTCTTTATCCATTCTATCTGTATTTTATTGTAAATTCTTTAGCATATATTTAAATAATTGCTTTGAAGTTCTTATCTGATAATTTCAGTGACTGGATTATCTGTGTGTCTGTTTGTTTTGATTTTTATTTTCTTGATTATTGGTCATATTTCCCCCCTTGTTTACACATCTATTTATTTACTTGTTTGTTTAATTTTTTGGTACTGGGAATTGATCCCAGGGTCACTTAACCACTGAGCTACATTCCCAACCCTTTTAATTTTGAGACAGAGTCTCACTAAGTTGCTTAGGACCTTGCTCAATTAATGAAGCTGTCCTTGAAATTGGGATCCCCCTGCCCCAGCTTCCCAAGTTTCTGGAATTATAGGCATGTGCCACCACATCCAGTGTCTAATAATTAAAAAAAAAAAAAAACTATATATATAAAAACAGTGGAATATGAGGGGAGTGTGTGTGTATAGATAGATAGGTTTTTGTTTTGTTTTGTTTTATTGTATTTCTAAGATATTCTAAGTTCTTTCCTCTGTCAGTTGGTTAAGATGAGGGGCTGATTATTCTTATTCTTTCTGGAGCTGTGACTGAGCTCTGGCAGTGATACATCTTTAATTTGATTGAATTTTGCCTCATTGCCAATGCTTCTCACCACCACTAAGGGGCAGTCTTTTTTTTTTTTTTATCTTTCAGTATTTAAGCTAGGAAGGGGTTAGACTACAGTTCCAGACATTTGTCCATCTTGGACTAAACTCCATCTGGGCCCCAGAATTCAAGCTCAGCAAGAACGCATAGGTATTTGATGAAAGTATTGGGAGCAGAAGTGCCTGTCCTACCCCCATTCCCTACCCCTTCTGATCTCATCTTCTTCTACAGTCCCCTTCCCTAACCTACCTCCATCCATGCTCTTTACCTTCTGTTCCTCAAATAAGCTAAGAATGTTCTCACCAGGCGCCAGTGGCCTGTAATCCCAGGAGGATCTCGAGTTCAAAGACAGCCTCAGCAAAAGCAAGGTGTTAAGCAACTCAGTGAGACCCTGTCTCTAAATAAAATAGGAGTGGAAATGTGGCTCAGTGGTCAAGTGCCCCTGAGTTCAATCCCCAGTACCCGCTCTCCTGCCCACCAAAAAAAGAATGTTCTCATCTGAGGTTCTTTACACCTCCCTGGAATGCTCTCCCCACAGATTTCCTCATGGTTCTTCCTCACTGAATTCATCTCTCTGGCCAAATATCATCCTTTAAAAGCAACTTTCTATAAGTACCCTACACAAAAGATCATTTTTACACTCACTTTGGGTCTCCCTATTTCCTCTGATCTGCTTAATTTTTTCTAAGGCATGTATGATCATATGTCCTACATATTTAAGTATTTACAGTAATTTCAAAACAGATCCAGGGAGGCCCCTGGTAAAATTAGTTTGGAATCTCCCAAAACTTTGAAAATGTCAGAAATCCTTGGACTCTACTGAAAAGGAATGTTTGATGTTCTAGGAACTGTTGACCTTCAAGGACATATTTGTGGACTTTACCCAGGAGGAGTGGGGGCATTTGGCCCCTACTCACCGGAATTTGTACCGGGATGTGATGCTGGAGAACTACAGGAATCTGGTGTCAGTGGGTAAGGATGGGTCATTCATATATCCAGAAACCTGCCCATTATAGAATAGTCATTATTTCTAAATTATCAATATTGTAAATTCTTTGGAGACTTGGCCTTGGGTTCTGCATTAAAGATGTATTATTCCTTTGAAAACCAAGCCAGGGCAGATATGATTCCTTGGGGATCAGCTTTACTTTATAGAGCTAGAATAGAAAGACATGCCCCTTCCCATTCTCAGAGCCCCTGAATACCAGAACACTAGAACTAAATTCTAAGGATGGTACTTAGACATAAATATAAATATTCATATTCTTTCTCTTTTACTTCATATGCAGGATATCAGTTTTCCAAGCCTAGTGTGATTTCCCAGTTGGAGAAAGGAGAAGAGCCATGGATGATACAGAAAGAAGGCCCCAGAAATGATGTTTCAGGTAAGACCAAGGGAGATGATAGCTTTTAGTATGTGGGTTAGTCCTCAGGCCCTCCCAGGCGGCCAGGAACGCTCCGGCTACTGGACAAGGGATGCACTAAACCTAATTTTACCCCTCTCTCTTCACTGAGCCCTTGCAAAAGTCTCTCAATAATATGATTATTGGTCATATTTTCCCACTGTTTACACATAAACCACAATTTATTCATTTTTCTGTTGTTATACTATATTGTTTCCAATTGTCCTCAGTAAGGTTAAAGTTGATTTTCCTTCTTTCTCCAGTATCCTAAGTCCTGCCCACCTAAAGCTCTTTCCTCTAAGTAGTCAGATGTATGTGGTCTCTCCACAGAAAACAGATCTCTTTTCAGGTCTGTACAAATCTTTAATTTTCTCTCTTCCACTCTATTTCCACTTTTCCCCACATTTTATTTTCCAGTTCCAGTTTTCATCTCTTTTTAATTTACCTGTCTTAATTTTTGGTAATAGCTACTTCATGAATAATCCTGTAAGAGAAATTAGCACAGGATTCCTTCTCGCCCAATCCAGTAGCAATTTTCCTGAACTTCACTTTTATTATGAAAAATTTTAGACATTTTGAAAGCCATAGAGAACATTATAACACATTTCTATGTAACCTCCATCCAGATTAAGAAATAAAAGTTGGGGCTGGGGATGTGGCTCAAGCGGTAGCGCGCTCACCTAGCATGCGTGCGGCCCGGGTTCGATCCTCAGCACCACATACAAACAAAGATGTTGTGTCTGCCGAAAACTAAACAATAAATATTTAAAAAAAAAAAAAAGAAGTAAAAGTTGAAGCCCTGCTGTTCCTCTCCCACCTTTCAAAATAACCACTCTTCTGTTTAAATATTACTGTTGCCATTTGTCTTCTTACTTTCATTACATACATATATCCCTAAAACAACAGCATTGTTTTACACATTCTTCAAATAAATGATTTATGTACTTTCCTTGCATCTTTTAAAAATATTTATTTTTTAGTTGTAGTTGGACACAATACCTTTATTTCACTTGTTTATTTTTATGAGATGCTGAGGATCGAACCCAGGGTCTCGCACGTGCGAGGCGAGCGCTCTACCTCTTGAGCCACAACCCCAGCCCTTTCCTTGCATTTTTTAAAAAATATTTTTTAGTTGTTAATGTATCTTTATTTTTTATTTATTTATATGCAGTGCTGAGGATCGAACTCAGTGCCTCACACATGCCAGGCAAGTGCTCTGCCACTGAGCCATAACCCCAGTTCCCTTTCCTTGCTTTTCTTGTTCAACACTGTTGATGTTACTCTATGTTGTTCTAGTTTATTCATTTCCATTGAATTAATAAACCACAATTTATTCATTTTTCTGTTGGTATACTATGTTGTTTCCAATTTGGAGATTACAGAGATGCTGCAGTCTACTTTTGTGCACATAACTGCTCATATATGTATTCAAATATTTTTTCAAGGTAGTTGGTAGAGCAAAATTTCTGGGTAATGGGATATATATGCCTTCATTTTACAAGTTATTACCAAGTTCCTCTTCAAAGCAGTGTCACCAATTTGTATTCCTGTCATCAGGTTTTGAAAGTTCCCAGAACTTAGCATTTCTATCAATACTTGGCACTGTCAAACTTGAAAATTTTTGTAAATTCAGTTGGGTGAATATGATATTATTTCTTTCATTTTCCTAATTAGTTATGAGAGGAAGCATATTCTCATGTTTGTTGAACATCCATCCAAGATTCCTTCTCTGTAAATTACCTATTATATCCTTTGCCAATTTTTCTATTATTTATATTTATTAAAATTAGTTTTTAGAAAAATGTGTGTGTGTATTCTGGATACTAATCGTTCATAGCTTTGTTTTATAAATGTTTTATCTCAGCCAGTGACCCATCTTTCATTTTGAAAAAATAATGTCTTTGGCTAAGCACGGTATTGCATATCCATATTCCCAACGTTTTGGAGGTTGAGGCAAGAGGATCACAAGTTCAAAGCCAGTCTTAGCAACTTAGCCAAGCCCTAAGCAACTTAGTGAGACTATCTCAAAATAAAAAAGGGCTGGATAAGGCTGGGGTTGTAGCTCAGTGGTAGAGTGCTTGCCTAGTGTACATGAGGCACTGGGTTTGATCCTCAGCTCCACATAAAAATAAATAAATAAAATAAAGGTATTGTGTCCACCTACAACTAAAAATAATTAAAAAGGTGGGGGGACTGGGGATATGGCTCAGTGTAGCTCAGTGGTTAAGTGCCCCTGGTTCAATCCCCGATACCAATCAATCAATCAATAAATAAATAAAATGTCTTTTAAAGGATATGTATTATTAAATTTAATTTTACTTAATTTATTAGTTTTTTTCTGTGTGCTTTTTATTATGTAAGATACCCTTTTCTGCCCCGTTATCCTCCATTATACTATATGTAGATGATATATTCCTTTATACTCCTATATTTTTAGAAAAGTTTTTTAGTTGTAAATGGGCAGAATACCTTTGTTTTATTAATTTTTATGTGGTGCTGAGGATTGAACCCAGTGCCACACACACACACTAGCCAAGCACTCTACCACTGAGCACAACCACAGCACCTGTCTGTATTTTTAAAGTTTTGCTTTTCATATTTGTTTGAAATTCATCTGGAATTTATTTTATATATGAGATTTAAAAAAAAGTCTAATTTAACTTTTTCTACATGGACATTTAGTCCAGGAACCATTTGTTGGATAATTGGTGCAGCTCTGTCACATGTCAAGTTTCTATGCTTAGGTCTATTTCTAGGCTCTTTTGCTGGGGGTACTGGGTATTGAACTTGAGGGCACTCGACCACTGAACCACATCCCCAGCCCTATTTTGTATTTTATTTAGAGACAGGGTCTCACTGAATTGCTTCGCACCTCGCTTTTGCTAAGGCTGGCTTTGAACTCACAAACCTTCTGCCTCAGCCTCCCAAACTGCTGAGATTATGGGAGTGCACCACTGCGTCTGGCTATTTCTGGGCTCGTTCTGTTCCATTTCATTTTAAAAATTTTCTATCCCTACTCTAATTCCAGGCTGTCTTCCTTTACTGTATTCCATAATGAGACCTATTATCTAGTAGAAGTAGAGTACCCACTTCGTTTCTTAAAATTGCCCTGGCTATTACTGAACCCCTTGCTTTTGCATATGAATTATATAATCATTGCATTAAATGACAGACACAAATGCTGTGTTGCCATTTTTATTGAAACAGAATCAAATATCTAGATCAATCTTGAGAAGATTAACATTATTATGATATTGAATCCTACTATCCAGGAACATGACATATTTTTCCATTTATTGGTATTTATTATAAATTTTTGTTCATTAAAGTTTTAGGATTTTCTCCATAAAGGTCTTGTACATATTTCATATTATTGTTAAAATTCATTCTGGAAGTTGTGCATTTTATTGCTATTATAGGATATATATATATATATATATATATATATATATATATAAAATTTAATATTTAGTTTTTAGTTTTAGGTGGACACAATATCTTTATTTTATTTTTACGTGGTATTGAGGATCAAGCCCAGCGCCCCACACATGCCAGGCGAGCGTGCTACTGCTTGAGCCACATCCCCAGCCCATAGATGATATATTTTTAAAAATTGTTTTCTGCTTGTTGCTTGTGTGTAATAACACAATTTATTTTTAATATTGACTTTTTATAGGCAGCCCACCTTGTTTCACTCTGTTATAAATTCTAATAATTGTATATTGTCCTGTGGTTTCTCTTCTGCAACTTGTAATAATGAAAACAATAGGAGATAAGGGAATCACTAGGTGGTACAACACTTCATTAGCATGTGCAAGACCCTGGGTTCTCTCCCCACCACCACCACAAAACAAAACAAAATACCAAAAGAAGAAAATAATAATAAAAGGTACCCTGAATGTCCTTGCCCTGATTCTGGATGAAATCTCAAAGAGGTCTAATAGATGGTCCAGTCTCTAACATGAACAATCTTGATTTTAGTAAAATATTTATTGAATTCAGTGAAATAGTAAAACTCCCAATATCATTCAGAGTTAAATTTTGGTTTTTCCTTTTCTGTGGGCCTGCTTCAGGCCTGAATACTAAATTGGGGAGGGGTACACAGATGGCTTCTTTTCTCTTTCCCTATTGTCTTCTCTTCTTCCTCCCCTATTCCCGACCAGAATCAGGGACCTGAAGAACATAGACTTTGTTATGCTTCTATTCATTTATAATTTGGAATGTAAAAGCACTAATGATTATTCTGTGTTGACCAGGTTAAAGGATATTTTCCTGGAACCTAGCAGCAGTAGCAATACAACTGTCTGGGTTTCTTACATAAATAACATTTTTTTTGCATAAATAACATTTCCATGGATGTATTAATATCTCAGGAAGCAGAACTAAATACATACAAATACAAGTTTTAATAAAGGACAGTGTAATGTTCTTGTGCATATTCTTAGTTTAAACCCTAGTCTTTGAACCAGTGTCTCTTCTGATTCTGCTGAAATGGGGAGAGGAACATTTTATCTTTCTGAGATTGTTTTCCAAAAATAGTGTCAATGAAAAAAAATATATTCATAAAGACACAGCTTTGAAATTTTATTACTTATTAGTAATGGAATTGGTATTTATTGGTACTAAATAGTACTAATAGTTCATTAGAATTATCAGAAATAACAGTACTAAAAAACTCTAGTTTTACTACAAATGAATGACACATTTAATCTGTTCACTGTTTCTTAAATTTTATTTCCCATTACCTCTCCGGTTGCATAACCATATATAAATATAGTCAAAAGCTCATGTGCTTTATGTATTGTTGCCTAAATCTCCATCGTATTCCCATTACTGTAATTAATTAAAAAAAACACGGTGAAGATGAGTTATTTGCATCTTTTCATTTATTTCAGACTCAAAGAGTAAAACAGAAACCAATGAGTCAACTGCAAATAATGACATTTCCCAGGAACATTTGTATCATGACATTATGATGGAAAGGTTCATAAGGGATGATATCATTTATTCCACATTGAAAAAAGTTTCCAGATATGATGATGTGTTAGAAAAGCACAAGGAAACCTGTGGAAGAAATGTGAGACAAGCCATTTTGACCCACAAGAAGAGAGTCCAAGATGTTCACAAATACGGGGAAACTATTGTGAGTTCAAATATTTTGGAACAGAAGCATCATAAATGTGACACACCTAGAAAGAGGAAAAAATACAAATTAGATTTGATTAATCATCCAATAAGTTGCATAAGAGCAAAAATCTATGAATGTAATATATGTGAAAAAATGTTCAAACAACCCAATCATCTTACTGAACACATGAGAATTCATACTGGCGAGAAGCCTTTCAGATGTAAGGAATGTGGAAGGGCCTTTAGTCAAAGTGCATCTCTTAATACACACCAGAGGATCCATACTGGTGAGAAACCCTTCGAATGTGAGGAGTGTGGCAAAGCCTTCAGACATCGCTCATCTCTTAATCAGCATCATAGAACTCACACTGGGGAGAAGCCTTATGTATGTGACAAATGTCAGAAAGCTTTCAGCCAGAACATTAGCTTGACCCAACATCTAAAGACTCATTCTGGAGAGAAACCTTTTACTTGCAACGAATGTGGGAAAACCTTTCGACAGGTTAGACACCTTAGTGAACACGTAAGAATTCATACTGGGGAGAAGCCCTATGCATGTACTGCATGTTGTAAGACCTTTAGTCATAGAGCATATCTAACACATCACCAGAGAATACATACTGGTGAAAGACCCTACAAATGTAAGGAATGTGGAAAAGCATTTAGACAGAGGATACATCTTAACAACCATAAAACTGTCCATACGGGAGTGAAAGCATATGAATGCAACCGCTGTGGGAAAGCCTACAGGCATGATTCATCCTTTAAGAAACATCAGAGACATCACACTGGAGAAAAACCTTACGAATGTAATGAATGTGGAAAATCCTTCAGCTATAATTCATCACTTAGTCGACACCATGAAATACACAGGCGGAATGCCTTCCAAAGTAATGTGTAAAAAAATATTTATTTGATGAGAACAAAAGCCACATCTGAATCAGTGATTCTTAGCTTTAAAATTTCAGGACTCAAATAAATTTGAGAAGTTGATTTAATGATGGTAACTTTAAATTTTGCCTGTTGTGTAAATAAACATTACATTAATACCTACTGACACTTCTATACAAAATACTTAAAATATGGTTCTTCAAATTAAATAAATTAAGTATCATGAAATATTTACAACATAATTTTTCCTGATTTCATGGTGGATTAATAAATTATTTCCTCATGGGAATTCACTGATTTACAGTCCAGCATTTGGGAAATACTGTCTAAAATACCACCACTCTTATTTTTTAGATTAAAAATTTTTTTTCCCATGGGGAAAGTGTTCACATGATATGAAGTTCAGAAAGTACAGTTATATACAATGAAAAGCCTCCTCCACCCATTTCCCACCACATAATTCTGTTACCTAGAGGCAACCATTTTTTATAACTTTTTTGTGCACCCTTGCAGATTTTTATCTACAATCAAAATAATGCAAATATACTTTTCCTTTTTAAACATAAACAGCAGCCTCCTGTACAAAAACACCTGCGCATTACTTTTATTACTTAATATATCATGGGGGTCACTCCACTATATAAGGCACTGAATCATTCTTTTTTAGAGCTGCTTAATATTTCATGTATGAATATATTTTAGCCAGTTCACTATGGATTGACTTGGGTTATTTCTAATTGTTTATACAATTGCAATGAATAGCTCTACATATGTTCATTACACATGTAAATTTTATAGGTAGGGCAAATTCCTAGAACTGGGATTTCTACACCTGGGGGGTATGTATTAGCAAACAGTCCTTCACAGAGCTTGGACCAATTTATTTGATTTCTAGCAAAATGCAAAACTAAAAGAGCCTTCTTTGAGGCTGAAGCATCTCCTGGACCAGTTGCTTTGTCAGCCATCAAAGAAGCATCATTCTATATTTTGACACATGGCCTATAATTACTAGCTGAGCTATATCTCTCAGAAACAGCAACACTTGCCATCTCCAGCTCCAGTAAGGAAACCTTATCTTTATTTCAGCTAAAGGAGAAGGCATCTTTCCAACAATTGCTTCACTCTTTGACTTTTGAGCCTGGTACCTCCCTTTAAAGAGATTGGACTACTTACCTTGATGAATATAATATTGGCTGCAACCCCTCCACCTGGAAGGGGGACGAACTGACAGTCAAGGAAGGGTACTTAATGGCAGGGTCTACCATGGATGACTGACTGACTGTACATTGTGTAGCATTTTACAGGACGATTCTGTTAGCAAATTTAACACATGGAGGGAGACAGGAGGGACGTGACTTTCTAGTTAAAAAGCATTAACGAATGAGAATTACTTAACATTGCTTTTTAGATTATGAAAGATGAACACCAAGGCCAAGACCTGTAATTCTGTGCTTAGTTTTCAGTGTTTTAGTGATTCTGTGTCAATGAATTTTCTTTTAGCTCTCACCACCCAACCACTACTCCATTTATAATCTAGACCTTGTCAGGATCCTCTATTATATATAGTCCTACCTTTTAGTTTCATTTCCCATTTACTTTTCTGCTTCCCATATGGGCTCTAATATCAGTATAGTAAGACTCGATTGAGTTGCAAATAACAAATCAAGAAGGGTTAGTATAAGTCTCAAAGGAGGATATTAGATATTAGATCTTAGTGTATCATGAAATTCAGGAGCTGTACTACTTGCTAACAGTGAACTGAGACCAGGAGCACTTTGGAAAATCCAGGTCATTTTCTCTCTCCATCTCTCATCTCTGCTTCTGTATCTTCATTCTGTACTACTCCCCTCCCCTGCCCCAACACACACCACATATAACAGCTGATTACAAATCCCAGTTACCATTAGCTCCATGTTTTGTATAGATAGAGAAAAGCTGCCTTCTTTTTCTTCCCTTCCCGGGGGGGAAGCGTTATTTGCCCAGCTAGGTCAGGTGCCCACCCCTAAACTGCTGGCAGAGATCTCAGCTACCGTTGGAACAATGTGGATGGAGTAGTGTCTGGAAGGGAAAGAAATTCCTAGAAGAAAAGGTTCATGTTCATAGAGTTCCAAATCCTACCCATTCTTCAGTGCCTGCCCAGAGAATCAGGATTTTAGAACTGGAAATAGTCTAGCAGCTCACCTAATCTAGAACACTGACTTTATAGATGAAGAAGAGATGGGAATCCTCTTTTTTAATTACCCAGGTCCTCAGTTACATTTTTAAGAAATGTTTTTAGTTGTAGAAGGACACAATACCTTTGTTTTGTTTTTATTGGTGCTGAAGATAGGACTCAATGCCTCACAAGTCCTAGGCAAATGCTTTGCCACTGAGCTGTAACCCCAGCCCCTCAGTCACATTTAAAAAAAAAAAAGTTTGTGTGTATAAAATTTGTCAATGGACCTTTGTTTTTTATTTATGTGCAGTACTGAGGATCAAACCCAGTGCCTCATACATGTTAGGCACGTTCTCTATCACTGTGCTACAACCCTAGCCCTCAGTTACATTTTTGACCATCTTTCCTTAAAGTTTGTTACTCTAGCTTTCCAAATACGTGCCTTTAACTGGCTGAACGTAGCCACTGTTTGCTGATGCAAGAGTTTACTTCTTACATCTATGACTGCCTTAGGAGGTCCTATGTTATGCTTCAGAACCTACCTATTGGCTTACCTGTTGCATCTGCTTGTTCATTCTCTATCTCACAGGCACTTGTCCCTCTGCCAGTCACCAATACACCCTCCTCCAGGACCATGTTATTAAGCACTTTCTCATCTCTACACATTATTTAGTTTATCTCATTAATATCCTTAGACTTCTAACATCTGTATCTCTATCTTAGAAATCTCATCCTGAGTTCCAGAACAATGGATATTGCCACTTGGATATCCTGTAGTAAACATGTTGAAAACTCAAATCAAAATTGTTTCAATAAAATCTGTATCCCTTAACCCAGAAGGGGTACTGCCATCAATCCAATTCTAAGATAGCTGAAACTTCTTCCTGTCATCCACTACCTCTCCCAATCAGTCACCAAGTACAGTATATTCTGTTAGAATCTCCTCAGCCTCTCTTCTCTCCATTTCCATATCCAAAGTTTTAATCAAGTTCTTAGCCCCTCCTAATGACATAAGTAGACTACCAACTAGTTTCTCCCATAGCTAATCTGTACTCCTCTCTTTATTCTCTGCACTGCTGCTAGCATGATCATTCTAGAACACATATTAAACCACTTTATTCCTTAAAATCCCTCAATGGTTTGTCATAACTTAAAAATAAAGGTCAAATTTTAAACTATAGAACACTTGATATACAGCACTGCCTATTTTTTCTGGAAGAAGCTTCCAAATTTCCACCCAACCAAACTTTGCTTGGCCATAAAGATCTTATGGTCCCCCAAATATTCTACACTATTTCATGGGTTTTAGTCTTCAACCCTGTAAGTTCCTCTTCTTTCTGCCCAGCTCCTTTGTTTAGTTATCTTCTGTTTGGCCTCCCATGTATCATCAGGGAATGGTATGTTATACGCTGCATAAAATTTGTGCCTTCCTGGGTGAATTTATAAAATAAACCAAAAAGGTAGACCTTATCTTATAGGATTTTAGATCAGAAAGTAAAAGAAAAGATATAAATTTTATAAAATTACAGTTCAACTGAAGTAATGGCCACTTCAATTTGCTTTATGTTGTTGCTTGTTTCACTCTCTTCTTTTCTGCTATGGGTTTGCACCTTCCAAGTTAAGAAAACAAAACAGTATTTCTTACCTCAGGCTCTTTTTTCTAGCATACTTTGGCTCAAGCAGGAAGGTAACCCCAGCTCAACTAATGGCCAATTTTCTGGACTTCTGTTTAAGTAATAGGGAAATGAACCCCACCTCCCCCAACACCCCTCACTGGACACAAATCTGAAAGGCTGTAGCCCTGGAAAACTGAGAGAGAAAGATAAATACTGACTGGATATGGGACAATCAACCACAGTTAGAAATAGATCCAAGAGATGGAAAGAGGAAGCTCAATCCTGGACATAGTGCTTGATGACTAAATCAAGCCTCACCTGAAGTTAGTTTTGGAGATTTCTGCCTCCTCCCCAGTATAATATTCCCCTGTTACACATGAACCACTCTTTCCCCCCAATATTTCATGTTTGTTTTTCATTATCTTCTGCTTCATTCCACCAGTCACATTGTCCCCCAACACCATTTGAGGAATGGTCCATGTGTGAAGGGGTCCAGGTGGAGGTTTTCTGGCATTAGAAGTTTCATCCTGGCTAAAGATGGTTATACTGGGGAGGAGGTAGAAAACCTCAACCTCAATTCATCAATGCCTTTGTTGTAGGGACAAATGAGGCAAGGCACCGAAGATAGCAGGAAACAGTTTTATTTGGCTGCAGTCAGGTTCAGAGGGCGCAGCTTTTGCTGTAATCAATCAATCCCCTGAACCCCAAGTTCAGATAGTTTCAGAGTTTTATACCCAGTATGTAAGGGGAGGGGCTCAGAAGTTCACAGTCTACAGAAGTTCACATAAAAGCAGCTTCTCCTTTCACTGTTTTGGGAAAGTTAACCCTTCAAGGACAACACTTGAGAAGGGGAAAGCTTCTCCCCTTTCTGTCCTCCCCCTGCCAGCTGTTACCATGGAGCCCAATTGGTATACAAACTACTATACTGGATATGTTTGTGAAAAACTAGTAAGGGATGTCCAGCACCTGGAGTGCTGATTTCTTCCCGGCCAGTGGCCAAGTAAGATAGGGCAACATGAAAATAGGAAGTTTATCTACATTGAACTCTTCTGCAGACAGTCCTAAAATCAGCCATGGTGAAGATTTCTGGAGAAGCCCAGTTAAGACTTTTCTGTGGAGAAAGGGGGTGCCACTTAACCTTCTCTTATCTCACTTGATTAAAATGCTTTTGTTCAACTTCCATGTTCCTGTGAAAAAGGACGTTTTCCTACATAACCACAACAACATTACTGCACTCAGGATATTTACAATTGATTGATAATATCTGATAAAAATCACTTCAAATTTTTCCCAACTGACAGAAAATGTACTTTGTAGTTTTTAGCACCTATATTAGTTTAAAAGCCTTACTGTTTAGCATTTCATATTTAATCTTCAATCCACCTGAAATTGACTTTTGTGATCATGTGAGAAGTTCCCATTTTATACTGCTTTCCGAAAGAATAACTATATTGTCACAGAACCTTCACTAAATAGACCATCTTTTTCAAATAGCTGTGCGATGCCACCTTTGTCATAAATCAAGTTTGCTGTAAAGAAAAGGAAGGCAGCAGTCATAGAAAGGTAGTGGTTGCCTCAGAAGTGTCTTTGGGAAGGGTCTGGTTGTTCTATTTTTGTACGAATGGTGAAAAGTGCGTTAAAAAAAATTACTGACTTATATTTCAGAACGTGATTGTATGTTTCCCAATAAAGGGGGGGGGAACACTACCCCCAAGGAGGGGAGCACCAGAATCTTAGAAGTGAGCTCGTGGCTTGTCCTTCAGTGGGAAAGCTGGTGCGAGGCTCTAAGATGCAGATGTAGAGCCAAAGGTTGTCAAGGAGCAGACACAGCGCCTACAATCAGGGGAGAGTTCGGTCTAGAACTAAACGACAAGCACACACGGAGCCCCAAGCTCCCAGAGTTTCCCTAAGCCCAAGCCAGTGATAGGAGAAGCCTCCTTGGCCCGCTGGGAGCGGGATTCGAGTCGGAGCTACATCCTCGCGAGGACTGGGCAGCGCCGCGAAGGACTCTGGGAAGAGGTGGTGTTCGGGCTCCCCAGGGCAATCTGGGGCGGGGCTCCCGGCACGGGGTAGTCCTCTGTCTCTAGGCTCCCTCTGCGGGTTATTGGTGCTTTTAAGGAACAGTCCTGAAGCAGTTCCGAGGCTACGTTGAAGCCAAGTGGAGTCCGGGGGGCGAAGGAGCTGGGGGATTGTACAGACTGCTTTTCGGAGTCCAAGGGCCTGAGTTCCCGGATCGCTGCGTCCTCCTCCCTCCTTCCCTGCCCCGGGGTGGGAATCGCCCGCGGCCACCGTCTCCGCTCCTCTCCCGTCGCAGCCAGATTCTCGTGAGTTCTGAACCTTCTCGCTCCGAAGAATGTGCGTTCGGCTGAGAGTTTCTCAGGGCCGGCGGCCGCTTACTGTCATGGCCCGCTCTTCCAGACTTGTAGGAAGTGTTTAGAATACTTTTCGGCATAGATGACACTCCCGGAGAGACAGTGGTTTGGGATCCGAGGAAAGCGAAAGCCCGATGACATGCAGGCAGTAGGAACTATCAGAGAAGCAAAACCTCTGACGTGAAGTCTCTTACCAGAGCTCCTGGACTAAGACTGGAGCTAGAAGAGATACCGACCTCAGAGCTCTTGGGGACATTGGTTATTTTTAACCCTTTACTTTCTGGGAGCAGAGACTTGGTCAAGTAACTGCATCCAGGGCATGGAGAAAATGAAGAAGTCAGCCCCAATAGAGAGGCAAGTGTTATCTAGGATCTGGGGTGCTGGGCAACAGTCTATGAAGTGTGAACTGGAAAGGAGGAAAAAGAGTAATGTGAGGGAGTGGTTCGGTGACAAAGGACCAAAAGATTCCATTTAAGCATAGCAGAGTCCCAAGTGGCTAATCTGGTTTTTTCTTGCACGTGTGGTCTTCAGAACTTTTCTCCTCCCCTTTATCTTTGTAGTATTCTGCCCTTTCCTGTGAGGAGGAAGACCAGCTGAGTTTCAGGTGAGTTGGCTGACATTTCCTCTTCAGTCTCATTTGTCAGAAAGAATAGATACACTACCTCATCCCTTCCTTGGTAAGGGAAAGGAGAGCCATATTTTTTGAGTACTAATATGGGTACTGTGTTTTATCACTCCATGATTGGGTAGCTGAATAGGGTTAGATGAGTGCCCTACTCACCCTGGGTCATTTTAAAGATGTGTCAGCTAAAAACTTGTCAAGATTACTCAAAAAGTCGGTAGCATATGACTAAACTCTGCTGAACTACTCAAGATCAGGTTCAGAATCCAAATCTGTAGGATCCCTAGATTCTTGACACTGTGCTGGTGTTTACAAGCATCTACTATCTAAGTGATACTATCTGTATTATTCATCTCATGTGTCAGTGGTGTACTGCATTGTGTTCTCCAGTTTTTGTGTGTGTGAGGTGTTTGTTGTTTTTTTTTTTTTAAGCATAGGAAAGTTCAGGCACCTGAGTCCAAATGGTCCATCTCTACTGTATTGTTTTCTTCTTTTAGACAAATAATGCCCAGAGAATGCTCCTGATCTTTGTTTTCTCCATAAGACATTAATTCACTTAGCTGTTTAGGACTACTCTGCACTCAATGTTGTATATAAAACAAGTGGGGAGTCTGTATCTTTCAGGAGCTTACTCTCTTTAGAAGTTAATACATACTAATGAAATATATATAAGTCAGTGCTGTCCAATGCGATTTTCTGTGATGAGGGAAATGTGCTATTTTTGTGACTTTTACGGTGTCTACTTGCAGTATGTAGTTCCTGACCACTGAAATGTGGCTAGTGCAACTGAGAAAATTAATTTAAAATTTTATTTTGTTAATTTAAATTAAGTAGCCAATTATGGCTGGAGGTTACCATATCTGGCAGCCAGGTCTAGATATTTGAAACAGTATTTCAAAGTTAATTGATTTGGATTTAGTGCTCCTTAGACGCCTCAAAAACAATGCAAAACTCAGTGTACATGTTAATTGCTATTTGACTTTAGTTTGCTGGAGTGTAAAAGTCATTGCCAAATTTCAGGAACTTCATAGTCCAAATAAAATTATTCATTTTGAAACTATCATCATTTAAAATACATTTAAAGTTTTAAGATATTTATGCAAATGTGTTTCAGTATTTTATTACTATTGAAGTTTCCTATAAAGCAATAACTTTACAGAGTGTAAGCAAAAGTCTTATCATTGCATTACTTTTGCTCATTGCAAATAACCTTTCTTATGGCTTTTTATGTTTTCTTTGACTAATAACATGTAGGCTATTTAAAAATTAGTTAAGAACAGCCATAATTAATAATAATGACACTCTCAGAGTGTTAGATCTTAAGCTTTGACATAGGACTTGGTGCATTTACCATGTTCATTGCTTATTAGAATAGCAAAGGGTTTGTTTCATAGTTACCCCTAGCAGCTTAAATTTCTTGTCTGACACTAGTGTACTGGTCACACCCTGTTGTGGTTTTCTTCTCTATGCAAAGTTAGATAAATGAGGTTAGGAGTCTGAGTTAAAAAATATCTTTGAAAAAGGGCTGGGATTGTGGCTCAGTGGTAGAGTGCTTGCCTCAAATGTGTGAGGCACTGGGTTCAGTTCTCAGCATCGCATATAAATAAATGAATAAAATAAAGGTCCTTCAAAAACTAAAAAAAAAAATTAAATCTTCACAAAATAATTTGCCTAGTTTCTTAAAAATACTTCAGAGACAAAACGATCAAACACAATATGTGGTTGTTGTTTCCTGATATAAAGAAAAATTATGTAGAACATTTTTAAGACGGTTGGGGAAAATTTGAACCTGGTCTGGAGTGTTAGGGAATTATTAATTTTGTTGGATGTAATAACAGTATTGTAGGAGAATGCTGTTTAGAAATGTATGCTAAAGAATTTACATCTGAGCTGGGAATGGTGGTGACTTGGGAGGCTAAGACGGGAGGATTTCAAGTTTGAGGCCAGCCTGGGCAAGAGTGAGACCCTGTCTCAAAATATAAAATATAAAGGGCTGGGGGTGTAGCTCAGTGGTGGAACACCCCTGGGTCCAATCCCTAGTACTGCAAAAAAAAAAAAAAAAAAAAAAAAGTTTCAAGTCAATATAAATTTGAAGCCCAAAAGGCAAACCTCAAATCTCCTTTTAAATCTGAAGAAACTGTGGCCAAGAAAAGTGATTTGCTTAAAGCCATACACAGTATATAAGTTGCAGATCCAAGAATAAAACTATTTTTCCACTTAAACTTTTCTGCCAAAGTGAGGATGTAGCTTAGTGGTAGGGTGCTTACCCACCATGAATGAGGCCCTGGGTTCAATTCCAAGCAGCTCAAAAGAAAAAAAAAAAAATCTGCCAAACAGACATATATAAATGATACAAGGAGTGATTTTTTTTTTTTTAAGTGTACCTGTACGCAACTGTTTGGCATCACTACTTGGTCATTAAGAAATTTTTCTAAAATGTCAATGAATAATTTGTCATGAGTCTTTTTTATCTCATAGGATTTTGAAAGTGATTTTGAAAAGTTTTTTATTTGGATAATGCATGTCTTTTAACATGTTATGCAGGGACCTCTTTGCTCAGTCCAGATCTGTGCCATGGCAGAGACTGGGGAGGAGGAGACAGCATCTCCAGAAGCCTCAGGGTTCTCAGACTTGAGTGATTCAGAGTTCCTAGAGTTTCTGGATCTGGATGATGAGTCAAGTGCTTCAGTTAGCAAGCCTGGCCCTTCTGAACTCCCTGAAAAGGATGGCAAGTCTGTAAGCTTACAAAACTGGAAACGAGGATTGGATGTCTCTTCACCCATGGAAAGATTCCACTTAAAATATCTGTATGTCACGGACCTATCTACTCAGAACTGGTGTGAATTACAAATGGCATTTGAAAAGGAGCTTCCTGATTTTTTGACACCTGAGAAAGCAGCTGTTTTGGACACTGGTGCCAGCATCCACCTAGCTAGAGAATTAGAACTTCATGATCTTGTGACTGTTCCCATCACCACTAAAGAAGATAATTGGGCAGTTAAGTTTCTGAATATGCTATCAATGATTCCTACCCTGCAATCAGAGGGGTGCATCAGAGAGTTTCCAGTGTTTGGGGAGGTGGAGGGTGTGTTTCTTGTTGGAGTGATTGATGAGTTGCACTATACAGCCAAAGGGGAACTGGAACTGGCTGAACTCAAGACACGTAGGCGCCCCATGCTCCCTCTGGAAGCTCAGAAAAAGAAAGACTGTTTTCAAGTTAGGCTATACAAATTTATCTTTGATGCCATGGTGCAAGGGAAAGTAACCCCTGAGATCCTAATCCACCACACAAAATTGTGTCCAGACAAGCCACTGGGGCCTTCAGTGCTACGGCATGCCCGGCAGGGAGGCTTTTCTGTGAAGTCTTTGGGTGACCTCATGGAACTAGTCTTCTTGTCTCTAACACTATCTGACCTCCCAGTTATTGATATTCTAAAGATTGAATATATCCATCAAGAGACTGCCACTGCATTAGGTACAGAGATTGTAGCCTTTGAAGAGAAGGAGATGAGAGACAAGGTACAGCATTATATGGCTTACTGGATGGGCCACCGAGAGCCTCAAGGGGTTGATGTGGAAGAGGCTTGGAAGTGCCGTACATGCAACTATGCAGACATTTGTGAGTGGAGGAAGGGCAGTGGAGTGCTCAGCTCCACAATGGAACCTCAAACCAAAAAAGCCAAATGAATAGAAGAAATGTTGGTCTTTCCTGCTCCTAATGTACCTAAAGAAAAGAGTACTCACTTCTGAGCATGGCTTCCATGGATATTGTTCTTATTTTTTAATATTTCTACAACCTCTAATCACAATCAGTCCAGGACCAGGGTTCACAGCTGAGTAGGAGAGATCTGGAATTACATTGTCTCTGAGCTTTGACATGGATTGCCAAGAGTAAAGATGCTCATCATGGCTGGAGCAAAGGCAATACCTTCAGCAAGCATTGTTTTCCTAAGAAGACTCTTTAGGTTCTAATAAATCTTATTTTTTTCTCAAAGTTTCTATATTTTACATTATAAAATAAATGAAATGTTGTCCAGTTGGACTGGTTTTTTTTGTATGTGGGGGTGTCAATCTCGATTCTTCAGAAATGACCAATGTACATAGTTGTGTATATGTTATAATAAGTCTGTAAATTTACATATAAATATTTTGGAAGCAGAATTAGAGTAGATCAAGAATTTAAAACAATTATAATAAATATTCTCAAATAGATAAGGGAAATTGAAAAAGTGAAAATACTAGATACGAGAAATACATATGAAGTATATGTAACATTCACACACACACACCTGGGTATATGCTACAATTTATATGAGTACAACAGTAAGTATGAGAGGGCTGAGGATATGGCTTAGTGGTAGAGCACTTGTCTAACATACACAAGGCCAGGGATTCAATCCCCAGCACTACAGAACAAAGAAACAAACAAACCAAAACACGCAGTAAATATGAACAAGAATGTACTTTGTAGTACTTCCACAACAAGCCTAGAACCCACCCAGATACCAACCAACAGAAGAGTGAATGATATTGTATAGCAGTCAAAACAAATGAACCACAATGACATGTAACAATACTTTGAATCTTTTTTTTTTAAAAGATTTCTTTTTTAGTTGTAGATGGACACAATATCTTTATTTTGTTTATTTTTGTGTGTGTGGTGCTCAGGATGGAACCCAGTGCCCACACTTTAGGCAAGTGCTCTACCACTGAGCTACAACTCCAGCCCCGGTATGTAAGAATCTTAGCAACCTATTAGGTTAAAAAAGTAGGTTCCAGAAAATTACATACAGCATACCCTTTTTATAAGTGAAAAATAACAACAGAAACTTTAAAAAATTTTTTTAAATCATTGGTATTTATTTATTTATATGTGGTGCTGAGAATTGAACCCAGTGCCTCACATAAGTCAGGCAAGTACGCTACTGCTGAGCCACAGCCCTGACCCCTAATAAAAACATTTTAAGGAAAATGTATAGGTA